CACATTTTTCTCTTCCTCGTCTGGCCTAAAAGCCATGGGAATAAAAAGGCAAACATGAATAGCTCCATCAATTCAGAGAACAGTATCTTAAAGTGATTGTTTGGGCTATTTGCATTTAGATTTTTTTCTCTTATTTAATTGACTGGTTGTAGCTGAGAAACAATCTCCCTTATGCTCATTGGTTTGTTTTTCTCAGTTCCAGTCCATTTATATACATATTTAATTGATTTCAGAGAGGAAGGGAGAGGGAGAGAGAGATAGAGAACCATAGATTGGCTGCCTCTTGTATGTCCCCTACTGGGGATCGAGCCTGCAACCCAGCCGCGTGCTCTTGAGTGCCCTTGACTGGAATCGAACCTGGGACCCTTCAGTCCACAGGCTGATGCTCTATCCGCTGAGCCAACCAGCTAGGGCCCAGTCCATTCTTTATCCTTACTTAAGTCTTAGCTCACTGGTGACATTTTCAGTAACTGAAACTCTTAATCTGTCCCCCTCATCATATTCCTCAAATCCTGGTCTCCTCATAGTCTAGGACAGCCGTGGGCAAACTACAGCCCGCGGGCCAGATCCGGCCCGTTTGAAATGAATAAAACTAAAAAAAAAAAAAAAAAAAAAGACCGTACCCTTTTATGTAATGATGTTTACTTTGAATTTATATTAGTTCACACAAACACTCCATCGATGCTTTTGTTCCGGCCCTCCGGTCCAGTTTAAGAACCCATTGTGGCCCTCGAGTCAAAAAGTTTGCCCACCCCTGGTCTAGGACGAAATACTATTCCTCCTAATACATGGTATCAATCTTCAGAGGGACACCACTTAAACAAATATGAAAGATGAGCACTTGGACAGACAGCTCTCTCATCGTGTGGCTGGGCTGTCCTCACGCAGCCACTCCCATTTATGATCTCAGGGCTGGAGAGATCTCTGCATCCTTCATACAGGACACTCCTAGGTGTCCTGCAGATTAAACCATCCAGATAGGCCTCAGAAATAAAGGATTGCCCAGATTTGATCAATTATGCTAGATGGGTTCCAAGCTTTCAGCATTGAAGTATTTTAACATTTTAATTACAAAGCTGTCCAATAGTTTATAAGTCCTGTAAAACCTTCCGTGCAAAATGTACAAAAAGGACAAACATTTCCATAAAATTAGACATGGAAATAAGCTCATTCTATTGCTTAGATACAATGAAACAGAAGGAAAAACCCGACTTCATCTCACCTTCCGGCCCCACTGGGGCTCAATTCACTTCTTTGTTCATAATTTACAGACAGTCTTTCCTTTTGGGCAATCCTATCAAGACGACCTACGAAATTCTCACTGGATAAATCATCTGAAGTATCTGTTGTCGGCAGGGATAAAGGACTAGATTCCTGCAAAGAATAAAAAAATCTTGTTTAATGCGGATGACAACAAAGATTTAACTCTGTATTTTCTTTTTCTTTTTTGTTGTTGTTAATTCTCTCCCGAGGGCATTTTTTCCATTGCTTTTCAGGGTGAGTGGAAAGGAGGGGTGAGTTGGGATGGGGAGAAAGAGACAAAGAGAGAGGAGAAAGAAAAATATCCTTATGAGAAGGGCACATCCACTGGGTTGCCTCCTGCACGTCTCCCCAAACCCAAATCCCAGGTATGTGCCCTTTACCTGGAATCAAACCCTAGACGCTTTAGTGCTCGGCTGACACTCTAACCGCTAATAGCCAGGACTCTGTATTTTATTTTTCTAATAAAATTACTAAATGTGTCATTTGATAAACAACTTAGATTTTATATACTCCCCTACTATTCTATTACTTTGAGTCAAAGTAGAAACATATACTTTCCTCTACCAGAAAATTCCCACCAGAATTTTAACAATAGAAAAAGAATCACCCCATTTTCCTTTTATAGTTTCACTAGAGGCCCGGTGCACAAAATTCATGAACTCAGGGTGGGCGGGGGGGGGCGGGGGGTTCCTCAGCCCAGCCTGTGCCCTCTCACAGTCCAGGAGCCCTTAGGCCCGGGTCTAAGCGGTCAGTAGGATATCCTTAGCACTGACATGGAGGCTCCCCTGTGGGAGTGCAATGACCACAGGGGGCAGCTCCTGCATTAAGCGTCTGCCCCTAGTGGTCAGTGCGCATCATAGCAACCAGTCATTCCACCATTTGGTTGATTTACATATTACCCTTCTATAATAAAAGGCTAATATGCAAATCGACTGAATGGCAGAACGACCAAAATGCCTACGGGCCCCTCACCCTGGCCAGCCCTGCCCATGGCCCCTCACCCCAGCCGCCCACCGCTAATGGCCTCCATCAGGGTGGGCTGGCTGGACCCCACCAGTGCACAAATCCGTGCACTGGGCCTCTAGTATAGGATAAGGAAAAACAAGAGTCAATTTTCTGTTTTTCCATGCAAAATACTGTAACACTTTCTAGCTTACTGTACCCTCAAAAAACAAAATAACAAATATTGAACTAAAGTTATATCCTTGATGATAACTTAATGGAAAAGGTGAATATAACAGCATCAATCCTTCCATTGCTATCTGCATCTTCTTTTAGTCCTAATCTAACAAAATTGTGTCTAAAGTTTTGCTACTTTATTAATCTTGTTTAAACAACTGACTTTGGGTTTTATTGATCTTCTTTGTTTTCTTTTAGATTACTTTCTGCCCTTAG